CTGATGTACCAGCCACTTTGGGAAAATACCAGAGGTGGCCATGATTTAATTGGAGCAGTCCACCTCCTGTGTCTCTCTGTGTAACGTTTGATAGTTAACTCTGCTGTTAACTTAGCAATTTCAGTGTGTGTAAAAGTTAACTTGTATGATGCACTAGAAAGTGGTTTTGGAATCTGGGCCATATGTGTACTCTGTTTGCTATTATGCCTCAACAGCAATAGCCATAGCTGGAGGCATTTTGTTTTCGGGTTGTCCGTCCATCCATCCATCTGAATATCTGTCCCATTCTTGTGAACACGGTATCTTAAGAAGGCCTTTCTTTAAATTCGGCACAAATGTTCATGTGGACTCAACGATGAACTGATTAAATTTTGGTGGTCATAGGTCAAAGGTCAAGGTCACTGTGACCTTTCGTTCAATTTATTCTTGTGAACATGATATCGCTCAAACGCCTTGAGGGAATTTCTTAAAGTAAACTTTTATTACTTGCCAGCTCACTAAACAGTCAACAGCAGTGCTTGCCCAACTGCACTGGCTGTATGTTGCCTCCCTTACCAAGAGACATCTACAGGGATTGTAACAAACACTGGGTTGTGTTGTTAATGTGCTCACGTGCCTCTTGAATCCTTCTTGTCAGTCTTGCGGTTTCCCTTTTTGAATGACAAATACAGACTATACAATTCAGTTTTATTCATAAAGCCCAACATCACAATTCACTTTTTGTCTCAGAGGGCATCTCCACTAGCCGCTAGGTCGATTTACACAATGTAAAATGCCATAGGTTGATGCTAATAACATTAACATGTTGTATTTGTGGAGTATATGCGTCCGGCAAAAGACAAGTGCTTTATTTGTGAATCTTGTCGCTCTAAAGCCGTGTTTAATGTGTGTTTTGGCTGTGTTTTAAACTTTACAGCACTTCACAGAAACCCCACCGCCCCAGTGTTTTGGAGGTGTAACTGCAGAGTTACACTGGCACACAAACACACTAGTATAAATTCTCACAAAAGCGTAGGCCACATGCGTAGGCTACAGTGTAGGCTCTGTGTAGAGCTGATGCACAAGTATAAATCCACCTTAACACCACAGCTTTGCCAGTGATGTCAGCATCAGACACCAACACACAGAGGCACCTTTCGGTATGTATGTACCAGGCGCGTCAGTTTTAGAGGCAGCAGGTAATAATCCATCCCATCATTGTAACGTTGCCAGCAACTGCCATAATTAGGGTTGCCACCTTGGATTTGTGAAAAAAAGGGACACTCGACCAAATGTTTGAGGCGGAGGGCTCGGCCATTATTACCAGTTCAGACTGACCAATGAACATGAAATTCGGACATAGGAGACCAGATTTGCCATCATTCCATGTTCTTCTATGTGCCTGTATTTTATATAAATTTTTATATCAATTAAAAAAACAAAACAAATCTGTGTTACTAAATTCTTACATTTTTACATGTATCTCACCATAGCAAGCTGGAAGAAGACATATTCTGCCATATATGAAGAGGGGAGACTCTCTGGAATCTGGCAATATAAGAACCATGATGCTGGGACATTCTGTCACTTCACAGCTGTCCAAAACATGTGGTTTGTGCCAGGTGGACATGATTGACAGTATTTTTTCATTATTGTAAGAAATTCCATTGACTCATTCACAAATCAAAAATGTGTTTTATCTGAAAGAAACATGCAATATTTACATCTAAGATCATAGAAAAATAGTCAACCAAGTGCAATGATGTCCTCCAAGATAATATTTGCCACTTTGTTTGCAGTAAACAAAAAATTGGGCATTGGGGGGAGGAGCACATGTCCCCCTCAATGTATATGGTGACTACGGCCCTGTCAAGCATGCATAATTAGGCCTCAGTTGTCTGGGTGCGCAAAGGTAAAGTGGCTGGTCTTGTCATACAAAGTTTGATGGAGTGTCAACTGGACAATATGGAGATATTTGCATCTTGAAAGTCGGACTACAAATGTGGATAGACAGGGAGAAACACACCAAGCCTAAGACGTGGTAAGATATGATATTCCTCACTATATGAAGTGACTGATAACAAGATCTGTATAATGGACTGTAAAGAAATTCGTCAGGATTTTATTTGGTAGACAATTAATCTGTATTTATAGCATGATGGGATGACAGCACATGATGTGTGTGGTATCACTGGAAAGCTCTGCTCCTGCGCTTTCATGTGATATGCGTGGCATGTCTGTGCGACCCTGCATTCGCGAGTAATCCATCCAAGAGTAATGTGTGTGCAAAGCTGTATGAAAGCTCTGTTATACATCATTTTAGTGTAACTTTATCTTTTTTTTTTCGCTGTGAAAACATTCGGAAAGCTACAATTCCGCTGTTTCACGTGATATGCGTGGCTTCTTGCTATGACGCACGGTCGCGGAGAAAAACCATAGAGAAGAACCGGTGTGAATTTGGACGCACTATGCATCGTTCGGGGCCTGTTGCACTGATTGCACTGATTCTGGATGGACTCCTTGGCCTGCTGCTGCTGCATTTTCCGCAAAAAACAGGACAAATTGTGTCCCGGGAGAGATTTTTTTTTTTCTCGAGACAGCTGATGAAAAAAGAGAACATTTCTGGGAAAAAACTGGATGGATGGCAACTCTAGCCATAATGTAGAGAGGAAGGAAGTCCATGTACAGCTGTTTTTTGTTGGGTTTTTTTTGGTTTGTTTTTTTTTTCTAAACCTAACCACAGAGGGTTTTTTTGCCTAAACCTAAGGAAAGAAACCTAACAATGAAGAGTTTTACCTACATTGTAAGTTTGTTTTGAAAACACTGTATGCATGTAACAAGCGTAAATTGACACGCCATCCCTGAATGTCCAAAAGTGACCCAGGACGGTATCTAGTGTATTATATTTAGACGTGCAGGTTCACTGACAAAGCGGCAGTATTTAACAAATTAGGATGAGAACGTATTTGAAAAGCTGGTTGCCAAAAAAATATTTTTGTCTTATCAAGAGGCATAAGAGGCATGAAGGTGAATGAGATCTACAACAGAGACAAGTTATATTAAGAAAAAATGTCATAAAATTAAAAAAAAAACTAGTCACACAAAATGTTGTTAAGAATCTAGGTTGCTGACACTCTTCAACTGAGAGAAAGTATTTCCTACAAACAAATCTTAACATGTTTAACTAGTTGCTCTTAAATATATGTTCTCTTAATTCCTGTAAAGGCTACCTCCTGTGATGTGAAGATGACCAGTCGTGGAACAGCAGAGAGGCCGCCGTCTTTAATGTCAGGACAATGTTAAAACCTGGCTACGTTCATAGCGTACATGTTGGACCTTGAGCCACCTAAAAGGCAAACAGTACACAGGTCTTACGCTGGTGCACAACCTATTTTTCCTGTTTTAACGGAACCTTTCCCCAACACATTCCCCAGCCCCAGAACAACGCCGCGAGGTTCCGTCATTGACGGACCTGGCCAGATGTGGGCGGCTAGCTAGCGTGCTGTTGGTAAGAGCTGTTAGCGAAGTCATCTAGCAGAAGAGCTAGCAATATCTTCCTGCGAAGTCACTGTACCAACTGAACTGAGACGAGTTGAGTAGTGTGTTATTGAAAGAGCTGATATATATAGAAATTAATGTGAAATTCGAAAATATAGAGTAATTATCAACCGCATAGAAATCAACCTATGGTCAACAATCACTTTTAATAGTGGAAAAAAAGCTTATGCTTATTTTTCTTTTGCATAAATAAATGATATAGGGTTTGTTTACAACTGCGATTGCAATTTATTTCCTACTTCCGCCACCGTTACGCTCCATTTCTCCCATCTTGTCATCCAGTGGAATTCTGGCGTTACCTCCAATTCCACCAGATGCGTGTGGGTTGCGTCTGCCCCCCGGAACAATTCTAGTCAATGTGTGTGTTTCCACCGGCTCCGGCTGTGCTGCGTTCCCGCTCCGTCACAGCTGCGGCGCTCCAGAGACCTCCGCAACAGATACACAGGGCTTCTATTTTTGACAGACGCCGGAGCACAACGCAGCAATTCAGCACGGAGCAGATCGTGCGGGGCAGGAAGTCATGCACAGAAACAAAATAAAACATCCAGTTAATTTTCAAAATAAAATACACAGTGTTCACGGCGGATCATATTTCCCTGCACTACACCTTGAAAACATCATAATGGGCGGAGGCAGGCCTGAAGTCAACAGGTCAGAGGTTTTCAGACGTCATTTCACCCCGTTGACACCATGGACAAAGAGATGTTAATCATGGAGGTGCACCGAGATGTATTCCTACTACTCCTCTGGTTTTGTGGTTCTGTTTATAGAAACTAGGCCTACGTCTTGTTATATCGCACGATTGTGCGTGAATTCGCAAGATTTCGTGGGTCCTCGTGACTCTGACGAAGCTGCACCGCTCCGCACAGCAAACGCAGCTGGTGGGTGTTGACGGACGGCAGAGAAGCAGGGGATAACCAACACAGCTGTTCCACAATGGACACGCATCCAGTGGAATTCCGGCGTGAGTCTGTCCTATCTGATAAAGGCATGAAAAGCCAAAAAAATAATCTGCTGCATTGATACTGAAGATGCTGCACATATAACACTCTAGGCTGGATGAAAGTATCAAAAAAAAGAAAACAGAAACACAGGAGTATGAATATCTGTCAGTTATTGTACCTGCATTGAAGATTCCATCTCCCCCTTCCTCCCAGCCAATCATCTCCATCATCTTCCTCAGCGCAGCATCCTCCATCAGTGTAAAGACTGGAGCCACCTCATATGTGTACCTGATGGAAACCATATTTTCAAAACAATATGCCACTTGCATGATTTTTTAAACTTTGCTTCATGTACAAGTATGACTTAATTCTTGTTAGAATGAGTTGTGTGACTCACGGACTGGGTTTGAGGGTCTCTGCAATGAAGCTTCCCACCATGGAATAGGGCTCCATCCCTGCATACAGCTGGTTGAAGAAACGAGCATGGGCTACAGAGATTATAAAAAACAGACACAGACAGGGCTGGACTGGGACAAAAAATCGGCCCGGGCATTTTGAGCCTAGTCCGGCCCACCAGGTATTGATGGAAAGACAATGAAGCCTATGAATGAAAACAAACTTTCTTGGGACACTGCTTGTACACTGTCTTGTTGGTGTATACGTACTTGTCTAATAAATTTAAACCTACACCATCCTCCCAGTCACATTATTCTATACAGTACTTACTTAGAGGAACCCAAAAGGCTGCTTGGTCTAGTGAACCTCCTGAACAATGAACAACGTATGATGGGATCCTGAAAATTGGACAGTGAGGAACAGAGGTGAGACATGATCATTGATGAATATTAAAATGAATAAATGACAGATTTAGTAATATTTTCATAGACTATGTACTCACCACATCAATAAACAGCACAGCAACACATAATACTTCCTCAAACATGGCAACCTTTAAAAAGTGAAGGGATATTTTAAATTGAATGGAAACATGCCCACAATAAAAACAAAATACAGGTAATTATTGTCCACAAGAGTTTGCTGTTACATGTCAGTAAAAAAACAATAAGATAAAAACACAACTTATCTAGAATAAAGAGGATATTTATGTATAAAAGACAAATACATTTAAGTAGTTACTTTTAACTCCAAGCCACTTTTATGTTAATGAGCAGCATCACATCTCCTGGCAAATCCTAATTTGATTCAATCTAAATTATATTTGCAAGTGGGTTTATGATGAATACTAGCCTCATCATTTGATTTTACATGAACATTTTTGCTCTGTTGAGCTTTAGCTGTTTCAGAGTAAAGAATTACTGCATAGTGCACTTATATCAATTAATAGACATTGAAATATTTTACTACCTAACTAATAAAGACTATACTTAACTAACTAAATGAATAAAATAAAGTTACTGAAGCACTAAGATCACCATCACTAGTATAACATCATAGAAACAGCCCAGCAGTAGAGAAACCCCGTCATGCTGCTCAACAGCCAGCTAAATTGTTAAATGGCCTACTCATAACTATGCTGTGTTAAGAGTTAGCAAGCACAACGAAAATAAACTATCAACCAAACTTGATTCATATCTGACCCAGGTAGACTGCTGTTCATCACTTCTTACCTGAAGTTCAAATTCCCCTCCAGTCGCACCGACTGTGCCGTCGTCATATAATGCGGCGGCCGCGGGTCTCCTCCTCCTGCCTCCCCTTCACCTCATTACCTGCTGCGGCTGCTTTGGATACCAGTGCGGGTGTGGTCACTGATGCTGCCGCTGAAGAAGCTCCACCATAGCCAGCAAACATCTGCGTTATTTTAACACATTTGGCAGCATCTTCCTAAAGGGCTTGTCTCTTTTTCTCTCTTATTTTTTCCGCACCTCCTTTGAGTTTCTTCTCAATTTTATCAATCTCCTCTCTCTGTATGATTGATTGACTGGCAGCCGAGGCCCAAGTGGGAGGGGGCATCGGCCCTCGGCTGTAATTGGTCCAGCCCAGAATCAATCATGACTAATGGGCCGATCTACCAGTTTTGTGTACCAATAGGTATCATGACGTGACAAAAAAAAAAAAAAAAAAAAACAAAAGGCCCGGCCCAAAATTACCATCGGGCCGATGGCCAGTCCAACACTGCCTGAAGATAATTTGGAATGAAGGGTTTGAATTATTGCATGTGATTATTATCAAATTCTAGGCTAGCAAGAGTAATGCAACAACAACAATTAAATAGTAGATGACACAAACATGTGAGGTCATGTACTCGTCAAATAAGTGAATAAAGCGCTGCATGATGTAACAACATTATTTGATGTGGTTTAAGGCTTCAAGCCACTGAATAGTGTTCAGATAGATAGAGGGATGCTCTTATTGCCCAGTGCATTATATATCGAATACCCACCTCAATCAAATCTAGTGTACAACATGCAGGTGCATCACCATAATTTAGAATATCATGATAAGTTCAATATTTTTTAATCATGTATATACACCACCTAACCTCTTGTAACTTTATTGGGTCATGAAACAGCCACCTGCATAACGTTAAATAATGTTACCTTCAGGAGCATGGAACTGACTTAATGAGCTCACATCATGCATGATTAGCCAGTAGCTTTCAACCCATTGTGTCACAGCTAAAGCTTCTAACATTAACGTTACTTAGCAAGAACTTAACTTTCAACTGTCATTCACTCACCTCATCTGTCAGCTAGCAGTATCGTTGTCTTCCTGTCAACTGAAAAGAGAAAAATGACTAGAGCAAACATAGAAGAGATGGTTTAATCAGTAATATCATTTTAAAGAATGTACAAATAAATATATATGAAACACTGAGAGACCAAAAACACCAAAAGTCATCAACAAGCAGCCCACACAAACTCTGTAAAACCACTTTTGTGGCAGCTGTCACACAATCATACACTTATGGTGGCAGAGCTGCCGAACATTGAGAAAAGTTTGAAATTTCACAGTGAGCCTAATCTCAACACTCCTAATTCTCATCCGTCTGTATTATCCATTATCTTCCCCATCAAGGAAGTTATTTTTTTGCCAAACAATGTTTCAAGGTCTTAAAACCAAAAGGAAATTACTTTTGCCTTTATGTCTTGTTGTTAACAGCACAATCCTTCTTAATGATACATGGGAAAGGAAATGGCACAGTGATGGACAAAAATGATGTTAGGATATTCTTCTCTGTTTATCCTGTCTACCCAGCTTTCCATTCTGTTTTCAGCGGACGGTTTTTAGCAGGCACCCTCATGCAGATTGACAGGGTCCGCTACAACACAACTAGTCTGTACGATGTGCTGTCTGACCATGTTGGAAATCAGAAATCATCAACTGTCATTTTCAATCAGTCAGTGTTGAAGGAGATTCATAGCACTGCACCTGATTCAGCATTTGGACAGTTACAGAAATTGTGTCTCAAATGAAAAAAAAGAGCAAGAGAGAGAAGTTCAAACCCTGTCTCCTCTCTCACCTCCACACAGATGACTGATCACTAAAGCGGGCATGAATGTCAAATTACATCACATTCTCACTCTGACCTCGTCACATATTGACGTTTGGTCATGGACTTTCCATGTTGAGATATGACGTGGTTGTTGACCTTTTGGGACACCATGTCAACTTCAGCCTGTTACATACATTGTCCGTTTTCAAAATACACTTCTGTTTTGTCTCTCTGTCTTTCAAAATAAATGCACTACTCTGTACAACACCGTGAATTGACTTTTTTTTCCTTTAACAACAAACCCATGTGGTTGGGTTTAGCCAACAAATGCACATGGTTGAGTTTAAGAAAAAAGAAGCGGGTTTGGCTTTACATCTTATGAAAAGGGGACACCAGTCTCCCAGGTGAAAGGTTGTTGGTAGCATCCACCACCCCTCCCAACCACCCTGCTTGGATGTCTGCCGCCTTAACTTTTGTTGTTGTCACACCATATTTCGCCCTGATGCCAACAGGCAGCATTAAACAATAATGCTTATCATGCCAATGTGAAAGGTTAGCTTTCTTTGTTGGTTTCCGACGTTAGAAGTCACTGATCACGCACCTGTATTCATCAACCTTGGAGTGAGAACGGGTTGCAAATTAAGGGGTTTCAAGAAAATTAATCTATTGGCACAGCCCCTCTAATGTGACATCTAAAATGTTGTGGAGGTATTCGACTATCCAATCATCCAACAAGCAGTTCTGAAGAAGCTTTACAGTATGAGCAACAGGAAGCTAATGCCTGTTTCCAGCGAATGCGGCCATGTCAGGTTCCTGTTACTCTGTCACTTTTCCAATCCACATTTCATAAGCTGAGTACGTATTCAGTCCCTGCAGGATTTTGCAAGCTGTTTTTGGGGTTGTTGTGGCCTGAAATGCATGATTTCACAGCAGCTTTTCTAAAAAAAAAAACAAAAAAAATAGCGATGCATTTTGCTGTGTTTATAGGTGTGTTTTTTTGCAATAAAATAGCAGGGGAAAGTGAAACTTGCAAAAATATTTGTGATGCTGTCACAGATTTTGAGCTTACTATTATTAGCATTCAGTGCCTCCCAGAAAATTCTATTTGTGATGGTAATGGGACCAACAGCTGGACACTGCTGATCGCCACAGATCAGCTCTTGCCGTTTGATGAAGTGTCTGCTGCTCTCCTGCTCTCTCTGCTCAGTTAGCACAAGGTAACAGCACAACATGAAACCATTACTACATGTCATATTTTGCAGCATTTGCAGCTCAGTTATGACGTGGTAACAGTTGTAGTATGATAGCTTTAATATCTATATGTTGTTATAAACCAATAGACTTGCACCACTTGTGCATCCAGAGCACAAGTCGTGATTAGTTCATTCGTAATTATGAGAGTTTCTTTTTAAAAAAAACAATTGCCTTTGAAATATCTCTGTACACACACAATAAGCTATCAAAAACAAGCATGTAAACTGCAGTGAAACCAAACAAAAGCCTGGTGGAAGTCAAACTTGGTTACGTGGTCACTTTTCAAAAATATTAAAACTTTGGTTTGATCTTATTTGTCTTATAAACATGTACCGTGTATTTCTGCACACACACACACACACACACACACACGCACACACACACACACACACACACACACACACACACACACACACACACACTCACACTCAGCCATACAAAGAGTGTGCTCTTCTGGTTGTCCTCACACATTCAGTGGCTCCTGACAGAGAGGGCTGCGATTAAGCTGATATTAACAGATAGGTCAATGTCTATTTTCTGCTCCACTTAAAGCCTCACTGCTGTAAAAATTGCCCTCTCTTCCTGAGAGGAAGCACAATACAAACAGAGAGAGAAAAGGCAGGTGTGTGTGTGTGTGTGCGCGTACACCGTTGTGTGACATCTACATGTGACAGAAACAAGTTGAGGCAAATCAATACTTGCCAACAATGGATTTGATTTGGGGTGAGGGTTATGATGTTAGATGGATGTCTAGACTGTTTCAAAACACACACACAAGCACATTTAGACTCATACACTTATCTCACTGTACAAAAACAAAACAAGATGCTGGACAGTTACCCAGTGTGAACCACGGTGAGCTTCTGTCATAGTGAGTTCTAAAGATGTTTTATCAATAAACATAGATACCAAGAGGATTTTACATGGCTGCTAAGTGGTGCTTATAAACTAGGATGACTAGAATTCATTACAAATAAAAGACAACTGCAAGATCCTTTTTTTTTCTTCAAAAAGTGGAAATGCCTTTTATAGCTCCTGTGGTGGATGTGTTGACAATGTGCAAGCTTAACATTCAAGTAACTGAAACACAAAATATACAAAGCAAGTGAATGTGTTTAGAGCTGAGTCCTCTTCCACAGGCAGCAGTAGGGGCAATAAATAATCTTTGATATATAAAAGAAGAAGAGGGGAAGAGACATGATACATAACTTTAATAAAAAAAGAAGGCATACACTATACAGTCAGTGATAATTTTGAAAGTGATGAAAATGCTTATTAATTTTAGTTTTTATCCCTCAAGGTTTTAGTCTTGTATTTGCTGACGAAAATTCAAAACATTTTAGTCGACGAAAATTTGTGATCTTTTAGTCAACTCTTTGTCATTATATTTTCTAATCCAGTAAGGTTAATTTGTGTATCAGACATTAGAATCAAAGTGACAGGTTGGATAAATATTTCATTTCGACATTTTATTTTCTACAACTACAAATAATAGTAATTTCTCCAGCAGTGTTTGACAGGTTTATAGGGTGATTTATGAGCACACATTTACTGATCATCATTTGAAAAGCTCAAAATCTCTCTATTTATGCTTTAAAAAACTTTGACACCACAAATGACCAATCTGAGACAACTAGGATTTGTACCTGTGTTCATTGTAAACTAATGAAGCAGAGAAATACCTTAATTAAAGCCTGAATTCTTTCTTAATCTGCAACATTTTACTCTGGAGGTTTAAACTTATGTCTCACAGAGCTGGTGATTAAAACCAAACTTTCATCTCTGTCAGAGATGGCTGCTTGCTCCGCTGCTGTTCAGTGGCTAACAAGCCACTTATTTACTTATTCACTGCTGAATTAAAGCTCACACTGGCACCAACGGCTGACACTGTTGCAGTGTGTTTTTTCTAGGCTAAAGAAACATCCTGGTGGAGACTTTTTACTGGAGTTAACCAGCCTGTTGCTCATGTAGCATTTGAAGATAATTGCAAGCATGGTCTTGGCTTTTAATGTCCAATAGTCCAATAATATCAGTTTTATAATCATCTATGTAGAGTCTGGAGAATAGAGAGGAGCTCATGTAACTCTGCAGTGTTGTAGAGTTAGTAATAACTGAAGTTGAAAATGTCTGATGATCTTTAAATATCTGTCCTTGTATCTGTATTTGTAAGAAATTAACAATCCCACTGAATCAGGTGGGGATTAAACTCTAAATGAGGCATCTTTGCTGGTGAGAACAAGTGCTGGGTGTAATGTGTGAGCTTTTGCAAACACACAGGGGAGTTCCCACTGTCCCACGAGCATGACAGAACAGCTTGAGGAAACCTTTTGTTCCTTAGTC